AATGGCTGGGGGTGCCAACAACACAGCAGATAGATATCAGAGTATAAGGGCTCTAGTTGGGGGAGGGAGGCTATGGGCGGGTGCTATCTGAGAAGTGGGTGTAAAAATAAATAAATTTTAAAAATAATAATAATAATTCTTCAAAGCATAAAAATTTGCTTCATGTTAATTAGTAGAGGTAAAACACATTACCATTGAAATCTACCTGATGATTTTATATCCATACTCAGGTGCCAATGATCTCAGAAAGTAACCGATTGTGACTAGTAATAATCAGATACGTAGCTATTAAAGACACGTGCAAACATGTAAGTTTTAGTAGCATTAAAAATGTAGGAAACAGAATATCTTAAAATGAAATGGAGATCTTCTTTAAGCTCTGGAATGTGTTACTGATTATGTTAAAGCTGTAATGATATGCTTCTTCTAATCATGTGGTTATTAAATTTTTTTAAAATTTTTTAAAAATAAAATAAACTTTAAAAAAAAAAAGTAAAACGGTCTTGATCCAGGATGGTCCAAGAATGAAAAGGCTTTAAGAAACCTCAAAATTCAACCTGGCATGGTAGCATGTGCCTTTAATCCCAGTGCTTGAGAGGCAGAGGCAGGCGGATCCCTGAGAGTTCAAGCCAGCCTGGTCTATATAGTGAGTTCTAGGTCAGCTGGGGCTACAGGGAGACCCTGTCTCAAAAAGACCAAAAAATAAAACAGAAAGAAAGAAATGGAAGGAAGGAAAGGAAAGGAAAGGAAAGGAAAGGAAAGGAAAGGAAAAAGAAAGAAAAGAAACCTCAAAATCTACCGGCAGCATAGGCTGCCTTGACACATTTTAAAACATGCGCTAAATCAAATCCAGCTACCTGAGCAATCCCCAGGTGCTCATGCTTAGTTGATGTTCTTCCCTGAGGCAGGGGATTATCTAACCACCACAGTATTTATTCCTGAGGTACTTTACCCAAAAAAATTCATCTGTGAACTCACCATGCTCCAGACCTCTGCTGTTTAATGATGCATCCTATTCATTTCTCCACAAGGGAAATGGGGCACCAGGGGCTTAGTTGCCCTAACTTCCCAGGTGTTTAGAAGCCTGTCCATCTCCTTCTCAAGCATGTATTTTCACATGGATTCTAAGAACATTCCAGTTTAAGAATCACAAACATAAAAAGGTCTTCAGCTTGCAGACTTTAGTTTTGTCTCTTCAAAATCCCTTTGTCTTTAAAATGAACACAAAACAAAAATCCAGAGTATAGTTGAGAAAGGTGGTTACATATGCAAGATAAAGGAGATGGCACGGGTGGGGGAACAGAAGTACAGGGGCTGAGGGTGGGGCTGCCTCCACTCTGAAATACCCCGTAATAATGATGGAACAATCTGTCTGAATCCTGAATCCTGGTTCTGTGGGTTTGGGTCCAGGATCTGCTTACTAGAAGCATGTCAACCTGAAATAATACCACCTTTCTCAACAAATCATGAAAAATAAGAGGGAACACCCAGCCTAGCAGATTAAACATCCTGTAGGGGCAAAAACAAACCTTTTTACTTTTGCCGCTGGGCTTTGACTGTTCTTCATGGAGCCTTTCCTGGTAGGGTTCCTAGAAGGTCATATATGTTTCAGTTTTTAACATAGCATTTCCCTACCTAGAGGCTGGAAGATGCTTTCCTATCTCCTGAACCCTAAAGGGACCATGAGATTATTTGGCATTAGCCACTAAGAAGCTGCAGTTACTGCACTTAACAGATATAGCACTGATACCCAGGTGGGGAAGCTGCCTCACGCCTGCCCTATGGGCTCCTTCATGGTCTGACAGATCTACACATCTCTGCTATTCAGAGTCCTCTAGCTTCCTACCAGCCCTGCAGGAGCAATATCACTGTGCAAGCTTGGTTATTCTTTCTCCCTGATTGATGACATCTGTTCATTATAATCCGTCACTTGGCTCTGGAGAGTAGACTAGCTCTCCATAGGAACCAACTCTTGTTTCCCTCTCACTAGTATCAGTCCTGAGCTTCCTCACACTTCCAGATACTGTTTGTTGTGTTTATTTACCAAAAGAGGAAAGGAAATTAGAGTGTATATATCATCATCTCCCATCATGCCCACCTTGGAAACCTTCAAGACCCGCTAAGACATTGTTTCTTTTAGAACATCTTCCCACCCATGGTCCCTCCTTACTAGGTCTCATGGGCACACAAAACAAAGCTTCACAACTGATACCTTATAAGGTTTGTTTAAAGAAGGAAAGAAAGATAATCCATAATGTACCCCCAAAAGAACTTGTCAAAGTGTCTTCTGTAGAGTGACACACAATAGTCCAAGGTGTTAAAAAACTTTTTCTTATATTTTATTTATTTTTATTTTTTATGTGTATGAGTGTTTTGCCTGTATGTATTAAGCACACCACATGCATGCAGTGCCCACAGAGGCCAGAAGTGGGTGTCAGATCCCTTCAAACTGGAATCAGAGATGGTTGCTAGTTACTGTGTGTGCTGGGAACAGAACCTGGGTCCTCTGCAAGAGCAGCCAGTGCTCTTAACTGCTGAACCATCTCTCCAGCCCCTGAATTACACTTCTTAAAGTTTGTTTTTTAAAACTCAGTTCTTGGCATCCACGTGACAGCTAGCAATCTTCTGGAACTCCAGTTCCAGGAAATCTGACACCCTCTTCTGGTCTCTGTGGGCATTGCATGCACAGGTGCACTTAATTATGTGCAGGCAAAATGTACACATAAAATTTTTAAATAACTTTTTAATCCTGGCACACTGGTATATGCCTTTAAACCCAGCATCTAGGAGGCCAAGGCTGGGAGAGCATGAATTTCATACCCACCTGGACTACCTAATGAGTTTGAGGACAGCCTGGACTACACAGTGAGACAATGCATCAAAATCAAAGCATGTCTAGTATGCACATATTTATACAATAAGATATGTACTAATATACTTGTATGTGCACAGATCATGAAGAAAGATTACTCACTTGAATTGAAAATAACTGTTGGGGAAGAGACTGTGAGGAAAGGGAAGTTATTTTTCACTGTGTACACTCTGATGAGCTAGAAAGAAATCACCTTTACCACCTCAACACAAAAAAGAGAGCATGTGTCTTTAAGTCATCAAGAGTAAGTCAAGGGGCCATTGATGTAACAGTGGTAGAGAGCTTGCCTGGATGTGCAAGCACTTTGGGTTACATCCCAAGCACCATGAAGAAAGAAAAAAGTGCTTATAAGATAAACTCACTGTACAATAGAAGGTTCTAAAGACATTTCTCTGGCCAAATAGGTCAGTAAAGACATCCACACATATGGAACCTTGGATAAATAAAATTTCCCCTAGTCTTTGCAAGTCTGATCAAGGTACCATTCCTCCCCTCATTAGGGAGTATCATTATTATGGTTTAGCTGTGAAGGGCCCCCAACAGGCTCAAGTCCTCTATTTCACTCCCTATCTGGTGGTCCCATTTTGGAAGGCTGTGGGAACTTTAGGAGGTGGGGCCTAGCTGGAAGTACTAGGCCACCAGAGGCAGGGCTTTGGAAGTTACAGTCCGGTCCCTGGCTCTGGTATGTTCTCTGCTTCCTGGCTGCAGGGATATGAACAGTTGTCTATCACACTTCCTGCTGCTATGTCTTCCCCACCACAATGGATCCAAACCCTCTAAAACCAGGAGCCAAAACAAACCTTTCCTCTCTTAAGTTGCTTCTGCTAGCCATTCTGGTCACAGAAATGTGAAAATAATTAACACAGGAATCCAACTCAGTAGTAAGTTATTGTATAACTTCTGTCCTTTCAGAACCTGTCTGTCTAGTCAAGATCCTAAGTACAGGCACAAACAATTGCACCTGAAATGAGTGACATGTTAAACAGATTAGCTTAGCAAAGTTTCAGTCTATGGGGCAAGAGTCCAGTGGTTCTTTAAAGAGTCCATGGAAAGGGAGCTTCTGTGTGTCACTCAATTCAGGCTGGATGTTATCCATTTACAATAAAGTTAGGCGAATCGACAGGCAGTAGCTAGCAGGCTCTGCTGTCCTGATGCCTGCAATGTGGTACTCTTGGAAACTTCTACTACAGACCTCAGGTCTCAGTCTCAGTACGGGGGTCCTTGCGTGTTAAAGCTGCAGGTCTTTCTCTGTCCTCTACTGCTACCTTTTTCAGGGTCAGCTTGGAGACAAATGGTATACAAGCTACAGGACAAGAATCTGCTCAAACTGTAAGTCAAAGACTGAGTACCACACTTCATCTCCCATGTAGAATCCAGACCTCTAAAACAGGAAGCATCCTCCAGCTTACTAGAGATGAATCCCCTTTACCAAGCCCAGGCTACTTGAAACTGATGGCTCAGCACTCCTGTGCACATGTGCATGCACATGTGGGAAACAGACATGCTCTGTAGACAGAATGACTTCCTTAAGGAAGAGAAGCTTACCAGCTGTACCAGTGTTAAAAACTCAATGAACACATCACTTCTTGACACATTTGGGTCTGCAGTTACTGAAAAACAAAGACAATAAGCCAGGTTAGCAAGAGTCAGGCTCAAGTCTATTAATCATTTTCTTGCAGAGGGTCTGAGAGCCTTGCCAGAGTTGTGTGACCTCCCTGAATGCAAGGAAGGGTTCGCAATGTAGAACAATCCACAAAGTCAGCCCCCTTAAGGTAACCTTGCCAACATAGGTCCATCATGCAAATCCAGGGCCATGGTATTCCCAGGAACCTCAAATTATTCATGCCCATAAATAGGGCTCAATAGTCATCTTATTACCCCACTGGGATAATGATGAAATTAATTACAAGTTGGGTCTAAACACCAGTTTTGTAAGACACATGGTAACTGTGGGACCCTGACTCATCTAACCTCTTTTTTTCTGCTTCTGTAATTTGCTTGGCTTAAGGCGGCACTAACTCCATTTTGACTACCTGTTTCAGGCAAGCCTGGGCATGCCCAGGCATGTTGTAATCTTCAGTTGCTACCCCCATCCCGGAAAGCTATAGATCAAGGAAGCCCGGGCATATAGCAGCCTTATAAAATAAAAAACAGAAACTTCTGGCCCCACAGATAATAGTCAGCGCATTCCAATACCCTAAAGACAGCCCCTACCAATAAAAATCCTCCCCGTATTCAGGGCATAGGACCATCCAATCATTTTAAAGGATGCTTGGTGCATGCAGGCTTCTATGAAACTTCCCTATAAAAACCTACCCCACTCTAGATCCGGGCTCTCAGTACAGATCCACTGCATCGGTGAAATCTGAGGGCCTAAGCTTAAGCCTGAATAAAGGCTCTTTGCTGTTGCATACACTCTGGACTCCTTGGTGGTCACTGGGGGTTGTGAGATCTGGGTGTAACATTTGGGGGCTCGTCCGGGATCCCTAAGGACCCCCCCCATAGGACCCCCCGCAGAGCGTTGAGCCTGGTCCAGCCGGTAATTGTCTTTGTCTCGTTTGTGTTGTGTGCTCTTGAATTTGGGCCCCCGTTACCTTGTTTGCCTGTTGGCAGTCTAGGCAGACATGCTAGATGACCCCAGGCCTTGGGACTCAGGAGACATCCTAGACCCACCTGATAGGGATTGGATCCCACTTGTAACTTTGGAAGGGAAAGGTGGGTCTCACCCATGGAGCGGCGAAAGGCCAATGACCCACTTTCAGTTCTTGTTTAAGGTGCCGGGAAGTATTGTTTTGTCAGTGTGTGTCTTTGTGTTATCCGTGTTATTCGTGACTTACTTAGTTGAGGACATGGGACAAAGTCAAGTAACACCTTTGAGTCTTTAGCAAGATCATTTTTCTGATTTCAAAAAGAAGGCTAGAAGACAATGGCTGGAGGTCACAAAGGGCAGACTCTTTGTCCTTTGTAGGAATGAATGGCCAACCTTTGATGCTGGATGTCTGGAAGGGGGAATGTTTGACCTCCCCACTATTTTCAAGGTTAAAAATATTATTTTCCAGCAGCCAGAACACCCTGACCAGGTTCCTTATATTGCGACCTGGCAGGCCCTCGTTGAAGAGCCCCCCGAATGGCTCAAATCACTTTTGCCGCCACAGGGTTCAAAGACAACCATCCTCGCCTTGTGTGATGAAGAGTGGCAGAAAAGTGAAACTAAACTGTCCACCCCACTTTATCCTGTCCTCCAGGGTGGAACAGAGGAAGAACTTCTGCATGAGCCTCCCCCATATCTGCCCACACCACCGGCACAACCAGGGTGTTTAGAGCCCCCAGGAGAGGCTGAGGCAGCCCAAGCCCTTAGGGATGAGACTCCCCCGCTCAAACTCGGAGAAGGGTCCAGAGAGGACAGCCACAAGCAGCGGCATACTCCACCATCCTTCCCTTAAGGGCAGTGGGACCCCTTAATGAGGCAGAAGACCAACAGATGCAATATTGGCCATTTGCCACCAGTGACCCAATTGGAAATTGCAAACGGCCAAATTCTCTGAGAAACCATAGGGCCTTATTGATCTGTTAGAATCTGTTCTTTTCACCCATCAGCCCACTTGGGATGACATCCAGCAGCTATTACAGGTTCTATTTACCACCATTGAGAGGGACCAGATTGAAACTGAGGCCCAGAAGCTGGTCCCTGGGGTGGATGGGAATCCCACCACCAACCAGACACTGATTGATGAAGCCTTCCCATTATCCCGACCAAACTGGGACTTTAATGTGGCAGAAGGCAAGGAGAGGCTCCAGGTCTACTGCCAGACTCTAATGGGGGGGGGTCTCTGGGCCACCACAAGGTGCCCGACTAATTTGGCTAAGATTAGTGATGTGCAGCAAGAAAAGACAGAATCCCCAGAAGGCCTTTTAGAAAGGATCCTTGAGGCATTCCACACTTATACACCCATGAATCCAGAGGCACCAGAAAACAAGAATGCAGTTGTATTGGCCTTTGTCAACTAGTCCGCACCCGACATTAGGCGCAAATTACAGAAACTAGATAGATTGGCAGATAAGACTCTGCCGGAACTTTTGGCAGTGGCAGAGAGGGTCTATAACCACAGAGAAAGCCTGGAAGACAAACAGGCTCAAGCCACAGGCGCTGCTAGTGTCAAGCAGACCTGAGACTTCACTAAGATCCTTCTGGCTATGACTACAAAGTCCCCTGATGAGCACGAATGCCAACTGCGCTACCTCTCTGTGGACTCAGATAGGGAACCCCGGGAAGGACAACCAAGGTTACAGAGGAACCAATGTGCCTACTGCTAAAAGATGGGCCACTGGAATAAAGATTGCCCAAAAAACCTGCTGGGTGAGGCAGGGCCCAAGAAGGAGTGCAAATCCTCGAGCTTGGAGAAATGAGTGACTGGGGGGGTCGGGGTTCAGATCCCCTCCCTGAACTTAGGGTAACCCTCAAAGTGGAGGGGACGCCCATGAGCTTCCATGTAGACACAGGTGCCCAACACTTGGTATTAACTGAGCCCCAATGAAAACTATCACATAAAAAGTCCTGGGTACAGGAGGCTACTGGCATGAATCAATACTCATGGACCACCCAAAGAAAAGTGGACCTGGGCATGGGCCAGGTGTCCCACTCCTTCCTGGTCATGCCACAGTGCCCCTACCCACTCCTGGGCAGAGACTTGCTCACCAAAATTGGAGCCCACTTTCATTTCACCCCTAGTGGGGCCCAAATGACTGACCAAGAAGGCCACCTAATCCAGATACTCACCCTACACCTGGACGATGAGTTTAGGTTACATCAAAAACTGGCCTCTACAACAGAGCAGGAGTTTTCTACCTGGCTAAAGGAGTTCCCCACAGCCTGGGACAAGACAAGGGGCATGGGGCTGTCTGCCCACCAGCCCACCATCTGGATAGAGCTTAAGCCTGGAATCCTGCTGGCCAGAGTTAAACAGTACCCTACGTCCCAGGAGGCCAGGCTTGAGATCACTCCTCATATCTGACGCCTGAGGTATCAAGGCATCTTGGTGCCTTGCAGATCAGCTTGGACTCCCCATCCTGCTGGTCAAAAAGCCAAATTCAACTGACTATCGGCCAGTCCAGGACTTGAGAGAGGTAAACAAGCAGGCTATGGATGTTCATCCAACAGTACCTAATCCTTACACTGTCCTGAGTTCCTTGCCACCTTCCAGAAACTGGTACACGGTGTTAGACTTGAAAGATGCCTTCTTTAGCCTGCCTCTGGCCAGAGAGAGCCAGCCCTTTGCTTTCGAATGGCAAGACAAGGAGATTGGCTTCAACAGGCAACTGACTTGGACCCGCCTGCTGCAGGGATTAAAAAAATTCGCCCACCCTGTTTGATGAGGCTCTCCATGAAGACCTGGGTGAGTACCGGCTGGAACACCCCCAGCTTACCCTATTACAATATGTGGATGACATCTTAATAGCTGCTGACAATGCCTCGCAGTGTCAGCAGGGAACCAGAGATCTCCTGGTGACCCTAGGCAGATTGGGATATCGGGCATCTGCCAAGAAAGCCCAAATATGCCGGAGAGTGGTCACCTATCTGGGATACATATTAAAGGAAGGACAAAGATGGCTTACAGATGCCAGGAAAGAGACAGTGCTAAAGATACCCACCCCTCACTCCCGGAAGGCAGTGAAAGAATTCCTGAGGTCAGCAGGATTCTGATGCTTATGGATCCCAGGATTTGTTGAATTGGTGAGGCCCCTCTATGAAGTCACATGGGAAAGCGAGCCCTTTGTTTGGATGGAGGTCCAGGAAGAGGCCTTTAGTAAGACCAAACAGGCCCTCCTAGCCACCCCAGCCCTAGGACTTCTGGATGTTACTAAGCCTTTTCATCTTTTCATAGATGAAAAGAAGGGGGTGGCCAAAGGAGTCCTAACTCAGACTCTGGGGCCCTGGAATAGGCCTGTGGCATATCTATGAAAAAAACTGGACTCAGTTGCTGCTGGGTGGCTGCTATGTTTGTGAATTATAGCAGCCATGGCCCTTCTAGTCAAGGATGCGGACAAGTTAACCTTAGGACAAGAATTATGTATCACAACCCCTCACGCCATCAAGGGAGTTCTCAAGCAGCCACCCAACTGCTGGTTGAGCAATGCCTGGATGACTCACTATCAAAGCTTGCTCCTTAACACCCTGAAGATCCATTTTCTCCTGAGCACAGCCCTCAATCCGGCCACCCTGCTACCTGATCTGGACCTGGACGCGCCCTTGCATGATTGCGCAGGGATCCTGAGCCAAGTGCACTGGCTCAGAAAAGACCTGACCAACCAGTCGCTTCCTGATGCAGAAGCCAGTTGGTTCACCAATGGCAGCAGTTTCATGCAAAATGGACAGAGGTACACAGGAGCAGCAGTAGTAACAGAGACTGAAACTGTCTGGGCGGCGGCTTTACCTACAGGGACTTCAGCCCAGAGGTCTGAGCTGATAGTCTTGACCAAGGCTCTTAAATTAGGCAAGGACAAAAAAATTGAACACGCATACAGATAGCTGGTATGCCTTTGCCACAGCCCTTGTACATGAGGCCATCTACCAGGAGAGGGGGGCTGCTCACAGCTGAGAGAAAGACTATTAAAAGTAAACAAGAAATCCTAGACTTACTGGCTGCCCTATGGCTACCCAAGAAACTGGCTATCATCCATTGCCCCGGGCACCAAAAGACAGATATGCCTATAGCACGAGGAAACCAGAAGGCAGACCAGGTTGCCAAGGAGACAGCCCTGAAAGCAACCTTAGTCCTGGCTATCCATCTGCCGGACCCAGGGCCACCCATGCTACCAGACCAACCTGATTATTCTTGGGAAGATCTGAAGTTGATACATAAACTTCCCATGACCCAAAAGATTGATGTCTGGTGGCATACAGGGGATGGCAGGATTATCCTGCCAAGTAACCTAGCCAAAGATCTTCTCAATCACATCCACCAGACCACCCACCTGGGCACTTGAAAGACAGAAGACCTCCTAAGAAACGTTCATAATCTCAAGGTTCTGAACCTCCGATCACATGTCAATTCAATCGCCTCCAAATGTCTTAGCTGCAGGCTGACGAATGCTGAGAACCTTTCCAAAGAACAGGGGACCCAGTTGAGAGGCTCCAAGCTCGGAGCCCACTGGGAAATGGACTTTACAGAGATAAAACTGAGCAAATATGGTTATAAATATCTTTTAGTTCTGGTACTTTTTCAGGATGAACTGAAGCATATCCCACCAAGCATGAGACTTCGCAAATGGTCGCCAAGCGGCTACTGGAAGACATTCTTCCAAGGTATGGTGTGCCAGCTCTTCTGAGCTCAGACAACAGACTGGCCTTCGCCTCTCGGGTAATGCAAGAGTTAGCCAAAATATTGGGGGCAAAATGAAAATTACACTGTGCATACAGGCTCCAAAGCTCTGGACAGGTAGAGATGATGAATAGAACACTAAACGAGACCCTTACTAAATTAACCATGGAGACTGGTGAGGACTGGGTGGCTCTCCTTCCCTTTGCTTTACATAGGGTGCTAAACTCACCCTACCTGTTAGGTTTAACTCCATTTGAAATCATGTTTGGAAGACCCCCTTCCATCCTCCCCAATATAAAAGCTGTATTAATTGCTGAGTTTGATAACCATCAATTGCTTGATTCTCTTGAGGCTGTGGCACATACCCACAAGGATGTGTGGCCCCGTCTGAAAGCTATTTATGAGACTGCTCCTCCTCCTACCCAACACAACTACCAGCCTGGCAATCGGGTATACGTCTGCAGACACCTCTAGAACCTCACTGGAAAAGACTGCACGTGGTGCTCCTGACAACCCTGACTGCAGTGAAAGTAGATGGACTTACCGCCTGGATTCATCACACCCACATCCTCCTCCACTGATCGCTGCACTGGATCCCAAAACATGAAAAGTCCACAAGGATGTGGACAACCCCCTCAAGCTAAGACTTTATTGTTCTTAATGGCTTCTATATTGTCCTCTGGCAATGCTCACCCTGACCTTCCCAACACTCTCTGTCAGGGAAACGTACCAAGGGGGAAACCAGGTGGTTGGCATGGCCGACTGCTCCCTAGTGGGCTGTCGAGAACCCCTAGACATCATAGTCCTAAAAATGTTAACTATTGGACCATGTGTCATCAATCGGCTGACTGCCTTCATTAGAGAACGGGTGAGTGCAGTACAGCTCAGGGTCCTGAGGTCCCATTATCAGCCTGTAGACCCCCTCATTAGACACCCCAACCCAGACCCATGATTGGATCATTCCTAGTTACTAGAAGAAGGGGAAATGTGGGACCCAGACTCGTCTAATCGCTTCTTTCTGCTTCTGTAATCTGCTTGGTTTAAGGTGGCACTAACTCCATTTTGACTAGTTGTTTCAGGCAAGCCTGGGCATGGCTTCATTACAAGCCTTGTTGTAATCTTCAGTTACCACCCCCATCCCAGAAAGCCATAGATCAAGCAAGCCAGGCATAAAGCAGCCTTATAAGGTAAAAACAGAAACTTCTGGCCCCACAGATAACAGTCAGCGCATTCCAATACCCCAAAGACAGCCCCTACCAATAAGAATCCTCCCCGTACTCAGGGCATAGGCCCATCCAGTCATTTTAAAGGATGCTTGGTGCGCATGGGCTTCTGTAAAACTTCCTTATAAAAACCTTCCCCACCCTAGATCAGGGCTCTCAGTAAAGATCTGCTGTGTCAGTGAAATTTGAGGGACTGAGCTTAAGCCTGAATAAAGGCTCTTTGCTGTTGCATACACTCTGGACTCCTTGGTGGTCATTGGGGGTCATGATATTTGGGCGTAACAGTAACCTGAAATATTTTAAAAACAGCAGTTGAGATCGCCCCTTCCAATGATGGAAGATCTCAAGAGGTTGCCCCCAGAGTGACAAACTACTGTTACCTCCATTTTACAAATTAACCTCAATACTCAACGAGGTATCTTGCTCAAGGTCACACAGCAAAAGTGGGATTTGAGTCTGGGTCTGGCCCTAGAGTCTAAACTCTTGATTTATGACACTGAGCTGTGCTGTATCCTTGTTTGGCCTTGTCAAAGGGCAGGTGAGAAATGCTGGTGCTGTGGATAAAGACCAGGCCTGGAACAGCAAGGCTGTGAGCACTAAGCTCCCATGTGAGAAGGCAGTATTAAAGGTACGGTCTGCTAACACAAGAGGAAAGAAACCAGGAGAGCAAAAGAATCAAAACAAACTCTATTCAGAACTTGAAGGGATCATTCAACAGGTCTGAAAAGAGGCATAGGCTCTACAACAACAGCAAAAAATGGGAAATGGGCAACTTCTATGGTTTTACTTAGCATATTTAAGAAAAATATATCATCATGAAAAGCAATTGTTCATGTAGAACAATCTCTAAAATATATACTTTAAAAAAAAGTAAATATATAGAATGAAATACTTTTTTCTTTGACTATGAAGATGTTAGAGTGATAGTTGGTTAAATAAGTACAAATACAGTCTCTAGATAATATTGTATCACTGTTGACTTCTTAGGAAAGGCACACAGACTTATTTTAAGGATCAAATGACTTATATGAGTAATGCTTATATAAAAATGTTAATAATATACACATACACAGAGAGAAATCAGAATGAGACAGCAAATTTAAAATGTTAAAATTGGAACGTCTTAGTGAAGAGTGTACAAATATTCTTTATACTGTTTTTGCACTTTTTCTTTTAGAATAGAAAGTTTTTAAAGGGCTAGCATGATGCTTCCACGGGTAGAGATACTTGCTACACAAGCCTAGTAACCTGAATTGATACTTGGAATCTGTATGAAAGTAGAAGAATCAACTCTACAAAATTGTCTTCCGACCTCTAGATACATGCCATGGCACATGTACACACACACACACACACACACACACACACACACACACACACACACACAATAATTTTAAGTTTAAAAAATACCAGATAAAGAAAAATCACTTTGTCTTGAGCAAAAAGAAATGCACATATATCAATAAGAATACTTATTATTAGGGGTACATAAAATTCTTGTCAAATATATTTGTTAGTATTTACTCATCTACCACACAGAACAAAATTATACTGAGGTCATACTTCATTAGTTCCATGAAGGTTAATTTTCCCAATTGCATATACTGTAGTGTACACACAGAAAAATCTGGGGAACAGACAAGCCACCAGTGACAGTTCTTTCTAGAGGCCAGGGGCAGGGTGAGAGGCATCCATGGTGACTCTACATGGCTCTGGTGAGGACCTTGGTGGAGGTGCAAGGCCCAGTACTGCTAATCAATACACACTTCTCCTACGCCCTGAGACTTTTCCTGCATACAGGGTTCAGCTTGGCTCATTGTTCTCTTCATCCTTCAGTTCTATGGTCAAAATCAATATACAACACTCCATGGTAAATCACAAACTATTCTAAGGTCTAATATGAAGAAAGCTGTTGTGAGATCATATACATATGAGATGACTAGAATAAGCAAATGTACAGATAGAAATTAGACTTGTGGCTGCCAGGGACATGGGTAGGAGGTGGCTAAAATGGAGAGTGACTACAAATGGGCACAAAGTTTCCTTTTGGGGTAATGACAATGTCCTAAAACTAGATTATGGTGATTTGCATAATTACATAACCATGTTTTTAAAAACCCACCAAATAATGATCCTTAAACAGATGAATGTTGTGATGAGTACTTTATGTTGCAATAAAGCTATAAAACAAAATTTGAACACATACCATTTTGCAGGTACCGTTCCAACTGGTCCCTCCTCTCATCAGCCATGGATGTGGTCATTGCTAGATAGTACTTTGGTGGAAAGTGGGGCAGGCAGTTTCCAAACACCCGTCTCAGCTGAAAAGTCCCAAAATGGTTAAGGTGAGACTCAGATTCAGGGTTGATAAGACACAATAGTCCTCTCTTAGTGATGTAGCTAAATGGACTATTTAAGGAAAATATGAATTTTAATCCTTGCTTTCTCCCTCTGACTCTGTCAACAAATATCAGCTGACCAGTTTGTTGTTAGAACACTAACACAGCTAGATAGACACTGGCCTTGTGTCCTGACGAAACTTCCTTATTTCTGTCTGTCTCAGATGGAGACTTCTGCAATGATTTTCAGACAGAAGAATTTTATTAACATTTATTTTCTTTCTAAATTTGTAATGATTTGCCTAATTTTGAGACTGTACATACTGTTATAGTCCTTCTCACTATAACTGTAAAGGATGAATGTGTCCTCCTTTCAAGGTCAGACTTTGAGCCTTAGGTCCTGTGGACCAGGCTGCAGCCTAAATAAACCTGCTTCCTGAATCTCCTGGTGTCCTCTTATCTGTCCTGCAACATTAGAGTATGTAATTTAAAAGAAAAAATAAAATTAACTTTTGTTGGTGACCAAAAGGAAGAAAACAGGGTGTGTTCTTAACGACAAATACATTTGATATGTGTGGAGGGGGCACAAGAGGCACAGCTTCCATCAACATGATAGAAGTCCATTAAGCTCAGGGAGTAAACAACTGAATAGCTTCAGGAAGTCCCTAAAATTGACCAGGTTCACTAGATCCCTCCCTTCCCAACACTGAGCATGGTTCTAAGACAAGCCGAGCTGCCTTTAAGAAGTAGAGACCAACAAAAACCACATTGTCATCTCAATAGAGGCAGAAAAAGACTTTTGACAAAATTCAGCATGCATTTATGTTCAAAGTCCTAGAGGGAACTGGACTGGAGGGAACATATCTCAACATAATTAAAGCTATATACAACAAACCCACAGCCAATATCATTCTAAATGGAGAAAAACTGGAAGCATTCCCACTAAAATCAGGAACCAGACAAGGCTGTCCACTATCTCCACTCCTTTTCAACATAGTTCTTGAAACTCTTGCTAGAGCAATAAGACAGGAGAAGGAAATTAAAGGAGGACTAACTGGAAAAAAGAGATATGATATTATATGTAAGACATGCCAAAATTACTCCAGAAAACTCCTAAAATTATTAACAAGTTCAGTAAAGTGGCAGGTTACAAAATTAACCTACAAAATCTCTAGCCTTTCTATATATGAATAACAAGCAACTGGAGAAACACTACAGGGAAATGCTCCCATTCACAATTATTGCAAAAAAATTAAAGATATCTTGGAAAAAATCTGATGAAAGACATCAAAAATCTCTACAATGAAATTTTTAAGTCATTAAAGAGATTGAGGAAGACACCAGGCCGGAGAAGGAAGGACCTCACATGCTCATGGATTGGAAGAATTTATATTGTGAAAATGGCCATCCTACAAAACATCATTTATAGATTCAATGCAATACCAGTGAAAATCCCCACGACATTTTTCACAGAATTGGAAAAAACCATCCTAAGATTCATATTGAAGCACAAAAGACCTCGGATAGCCAAAACAACCCTGAGCACTAAGAGCAATGCCAGAGGGATTACTAT